GGGGTGGGGCGGTTTATGGGTTTTGCGGTTTATGGCGAAGTCTATCCTCTATATCAAATCTTGACGTACAAAGGAACATCATCAAATCTTCAATAGTCTTTGACTTCATTCTACCACGGCGATAGTGGCAGATATCCCGAGCGGTATTGAACAGACGTTCAACCCCTACGCTAGTTGCTGGGAACGAAAGGGCATCTCGCGTAAGTGCAGCGATAGCTAGGAAGCGAGATTGGTGTTCTTTCTAGAAAGTGAGGGGATTTATTGAAATAGTATCTATTTAATTAGTATTAGGTGTCACGGGCCAATGCCCGTCCTTCCTACTAAGGCTTTGCCTAGTAAATCAACCAAAATGTATGAAGACTTACCAACGAAAGCTATATAAGTGCGTGGGCTGTTGAATGCTACCGAGCATTCAATTTGAATTGACCTTTTGGTCTAGGGGAAAAGTCGTCCAACCCACGCAGTCGGCTTAACCCTGTCACATTAGGTTGCTAAAGGGAATCAATCATTAGGTTCACTTACCACTATCAAGGTATTGACTTATTTCATCAGATACTAGAAGCCGTACTGGATCTTTGCCAGGTCTAGGCCTAGTAAGTATTAAATCAAGCATCGAGGATGGTCTAGCTATAGCGATAGGCCTCCCTAAAGCCTAGATATCACTTATAAGTAGCGCTTGATATAGAGTAAGGGCTTCGCGGAATGAAGCTCGATAAATATCTCGCTAATACTGATCCTAGTCGGCGGTATAGAAGAATTAAAACTTATTTACCGGCGTAAGCATAGTACTAATAGCATAGATATGCCCTCGGATACTATTAGTTTGAGAGTAATACTTATTAAGCTTCATCCGCCTAGCTTTAAGTATATCAAGCATCTGTTTCTTCTATATAACCCGCTTTCGTCGGAGCTGCTTTATTGATTATTTAAGATAAGCAAACAGTTTATTATAAATTATAAATATATAGTAGGCTGTAATATCTCGAGTCTTTAAAAGCTATATTATATAATCAAAGAACGGCTCGGTAATATAGAGTAGATAGTTAATCTAGCGCTATTCTTATTTACTAGGAAGCATCTCCTTATAATTATACTCCGTATAGAATAGAGTAAAGATTCTACGTAGTCGCTTTACCCGACGAAGTATTAAGTATTGTGAAGGGACGTAGCCAGTCTTAATTCAAACTAACTAAGCCGTTTGCAGTTATCTAAAAGCTTAAGGAGAGAAGTGGAAGCTGGCGTGGTCGAACGTAAACAAAAGGGGGTGTGTGGGAGGTCACGTGCACGCACGTGATGTCAACCGGGCACTGGCCCGTTACAAGTATGTCGAATTCCACCGGGTCCTTATATCTTAGATTGGAATAATCTTAATATCGGTTATCTAAAGTCTATAGAATATCTCTCGACGCTATAGACTCGCGTTAATATAAACTGTAAGATAGCGGACCTTATTTAATATAGAAGAGATCTAATATAAATTAGACCGTTACTTCGTATTTTCCTAGGCGAGATTTAACTACTTCTCCGTCTACTTTATCTTAGTCGAGTTATTCGTAGGACCTACCTTAATCCGAGAAAGAAGCTAGTTTAGACTAAGCTAAATAACGTAGGTAAGGTATAAGATTCGGGTAATAAAAGCTTTATCTAGTAGCGCTTACTAGAGAGTAGTAGCTAACGTCTTATTATTCGATATATTATCCGTCGTTAATCTAAATACCCTATCGGTAATTTTATACTCTATAAGGGTTTCTAAAAGAATACTACTAAGTTAATCACCGGTATATAAACCGGAAACCGGTTTAAACCTAAGAAGTACCTCGCGATAGACCTAATCGGCGTTAATAAAATAGCTAGTAATAGCTATAAATACCTATAAGAAGGGAGACGTCTAGCAGTTAAGCGTAATAGATATCTTAGAGCGAGGGGGTAGCGTACAAAAAATACGCTATTATCGATCTTTAACTATACTTCCGAGTCGGCGATATATAGTATCGGCGGAGGGGAATTATAGAATAGCTAGGGTAGAGCGAGCTTTATAGAATAGACGTTTAAATAATATATATTCGACGAGATTAAATAGTAGGCGGTTTAGGGTAATAAATTAGAGGATATCTTCTTCCTATTCTTATACTAAGAATAGTATATTAGCTATATTTTCTACCTAGGAGGTCGAACCGTTATAAATCAGTAAGGCTATAGGTTTATAGGGCTAAGGGTTATACTTTATATCGTTCTATAGAAACTTTATAATCCCCGAATTTATCTTATTATCCGATCGTATATATCTAGCTGTCTTAAGATACTTCGTAATCGTTAATATACCATAATACTATACTTTACTACCTATACTACTATGATTCTGAAAAGATCGCATGCATTTATTAGCTTGGGGTTTCTACTAACTAAATACTATAGAATACGGTTGTGTATAATACATAACAGTGTAGAATGGTCCCGTACGGGTACGTGCGGTAACCCAAAGGCACCTTTAGTGCAGTTTATGTAAAGAAAGGGGCTCCTAGGATCACATCCTCCCCCACTAGGCGGAAATCAGTCCTCCGTTTCCCGAAGTTCTTACGTGAGTGAATCTAAGGTCCTAGGAGTACATTTTCAACGAGTGTAGTATATAATCGAGTCCGTACGGGATAGTACGGGTATACAAAAGTAAAAAATAAAGGAAATCGTTTAGTAAAGCTTCTAAGAATAGCTTTATAAGGGTCCTCGAAGCTCTTTTTATCTTCGTAAGACCTCGTTTCGGGTATAATAGGGTTGAAATAGGTAGCGAAGTGATAGAGGTAGTTCTTAAAAAGAGAACTAAGAGGTATAACGACCGAGGGTAGATACGAAAAGGCTCTTTAAGGTACGAAATTAGCTAGTTTAGGTCTTCGCGTTATCGTCTAAACTCTTACTTCTAGGTATATAACTAAAAGTAGGTCCCTAGGATTTACTTTTTTCTCTCTTCCTTTCTTACTACTCCTTCTTATCACCTTTCTTACCTATCTTTATTAATTCTATCGAGTTTAGAACTAAGAACGTCCTTTTCTATTATTAATAAGGTATAAATACCTTTATAAAGGTCTATATAATCCTAAACTAAGGCTAACTTCTTCGTATTATATAGTATTACGATAGCGCGAGGTAAATCTATCTATTCTCCCCTTAGTGATAACCTAGCCGGGATCGTACGAGGTCTTATAACGATTAGCGCTCCCCCTACGACTCGGTATAAATTCTTATCGGGCGTTCTAATACGAATCGTAGATAATAGCGAGGCCGATAAGGTCTTTATAGATAAAGAACTAGTTATTCGGTCTCCCGTTCCTATTCCTACGGCTCCGGCCGGGCCTATCTCTCCCCTAGCTATTAGCTAGTATAGTAGTCCTAACAGTTAGTCTTATATACTTATAACTCCTACTAATACGGTAACCCGCGCTAGTACTTAGGTTGATACTAGTAAGTATCGTTTCGTCCTTATTAGATCCGTACGGGGCTAACTATATTCGTATACTAGGAAACGGCCTTAATACTACTAGTTTTCCTATCTTAACTCGGCTCTCGGGGAGCGTAACTGATTAGTTATAGTCCTATATTAATCCTTAGCGGGGTATAGCGGATTAACGTCCTAGTAGGACTCCTTACGTCTCTTCGCTCGTAAATATTCGTGCGATATTAGGTTAGTTTGTTAGCTATAAGGCGCCTAATAGAGAGGCCTATAATCCCTACTATAAGGGAAATAGTCCGTTTAACTCTTATTAGGTTATTTTCCTTAACGGAGCGGGTTTCTAGTAGTCGCTAGTATATACGTACTGCTAGTATTCGGGTACCGCTAATAAGTATACCCTCCGTAAGTGTCCTTTCGGGCCTATATATATTGGTTATCGTTACTAACGGGTATAGGTACCTTAGGTAAGGCTTTCTAAACTCCCCGCTAGATATTCGACCTTATACGTCGCTTCTAGCCGGGTAGTCTTCTCCTTAAGGAGCCTAGTTTGTCCTATTTTAGAGCCGTACGGAAGTCTACGAAGAAGGGTAAGGCCGTTATTAGCGCCGAGGTCCCGTCCTTTATTACTCCTATAACCCCGCTAAAAGGAAAGGATCGTAGTAAGGCTAGTAAGATCTTTAGGACTCTGATTAGGGGCGTAATAAAGCGTTCGGCTGATGACGCTTCCGTAGCGAAGGGTACGACTTCCTTTAAGAAGAAGAAGAAGACGAAGGATACTCCTAAGCCCCCTATTCGTATAGACGCTAAGCCCTATATTAGTCTAGTCTATGATTCCGGGATATACTAAATACCTCTAGACTAGCCTATAATTTACCGGCGTACGGATAAGGATTAGTTTATAGAAGTTTTCGAGCGGCTCTATAACGTACGTATTCGGGTCTAATATAATTATAAGGTAATACGTAATAATACGATTGCTAAGGGTTAGTAGATAAAGGAGGACTATACGACCGAGGAGGAAGAGGAGGGGTCTATTAATAATAATTCGGATTCGGATAACCTTCTTTACTAAGGAAAGTAAGGGTTTAGATCTATACGGACCTTTTTCGGTCCTTCTTTCTAGGCTCTCGGCCCTTCTATACTATAAATTAGTTTCTTTTAGGCCTTTACGCCTATTCGTTCGCGTTCGAGCGATATCTTTTAAGCCTTTGCCCCTTCTAGGCGGCTCCTTCTACTACGTTATAATAGGAAATACGATTCTATTCTTCTAATCTTAGCTTTATATAGCTATAAGCTTCTAGATCTCTCTTAACGGGGGTAGAATAACGACTACGAATAGGCGTAGTAATCGGGCTAAGCCTTATTTAGGCTCTTAATAAGCG